ATGACCTTAAAGGTTGCACCGGAAAAACGCACGCACGTCAAGCCCGCGCACAAGCAGTCGCAGTTCCTTAAGGGCCAATTGGTCACGTGATCTTATCCCAACGCGGTCAATGATGCCACAAACGAACGGGCTTGACAATCATTTATAAGCCACTGTCACTTCTCAGACAGTGAGTTTAAACACGGGCTGCGAGGACACCGTCGGTCTGCTCCCGACTGCGGGGCTAGCTCCGAAGCGGACAAACAGAGCGCTGGAGATCAACCAGCGGCAACAGCCACCTGAGAAAGCAACTCTGGATTTTATTCACAATAAACCCTCCTCCGGGTGGATTCCAAAGTTAAGCCCCTCTTATTGCGTTCTTCCCTGGGGATTCCAAAGGGCGTAACTAGACGGTAACACCACAATCTTTTACCGTTATTACAACACCGATCTGAATTTTTCCTTTCAGTGAATTAGGACTTGTTTTCTTGTTTTCATAAAATAATTGAGTAAGTCAACGACTAGGTCTGTTTGCTATTTGGCTCTCAATGAGCAAGATAGCATGTGTTCTCGCCAGTATTCTGCGGACATTTGGAACTGAATTACAATTTCCATTGCATCGGGTTATAGACACGTTTTGTTTTAATACAGGAGTCTGACTATTCCTCTACAATATCTTGAACTGAACCTCGTTTCCATCTGTGTTAACCCAAGACACCCACAATAATCGGAAGGGTGCATTTTCATTCAATTGTGGATCCTAGTGTCTGAAAGGCTTTTGTCGTTCTGAAAATGTCTACAATGTAAAATTAAAAATTCCGGGGCCCGACTTACGACTGCCTTTCAAGTCATTCAAACTTTAAAACCTTCGTTCGAATGCATAAAACGTCGATCCTGGCAGAGGTTTCTTGAACACTTTCCTGTTTTCCACGTGAAAATATAAATGAGTGACGTAGCGATGCGAATTCCAGGTTAACTTTTAAATAGCCTTGAGAAATGTCACAGAGTGCGTCATTTCTGGGCGTGAGGAGAACCTAACATTCCAATAACTCAGAACTGTTGGTTTGTGTTCGCGAAGTCGACTATCAGGGTGAGTGGTTTAATTCATGTGATGACACAGTATATACGTTACTTGGGACTACTATGATATATCACGCCTCTCACTTCGTTGAAAATGGTTGCCCCTTGGTGGGGTGATTGATAGCTGGCATAGGGGTCTTTATATGTTGAAATTTAATCACCCGTGTTGAAGGTTGGCGTGAGGATTTCTTGGGCACTTGGGTCATCGTTGGAAAATGTGTTCGCTTGTGCGTTCAGCACCAAAAAAATGTTAGGGATGTCATTTAAATTGTTAATAAACTGGGGGGGGACTGTAGACCATGACTTGAACAACTGGCAGCTCATGCCATTGTTAGTTCTCGCAAGAATTTCGGCTTCATTGAACTTGAATGTGTGGCCAGGTGCTGTCAAATGGGACGCGAGCTGAGAATTGGCGTCATTTCGCAGCACTACTGCGGCTTTTTCGGAACTTTGCGCCCGCAGCAATTTTAGTTGCGTTTCCCGCAACTGCACAGGATCTGAGAAACGACTCCAGACATTTCGTGCCATGGTATTGATTCACTTGGTGTTATTACCCGACGCCTACTGGTTGTCCCCGGTCTGCGTGCGACTCTACTCCAAGTGGTGCGAGAAGGCAGCTGACGGCCTCCGATACCTTTTTGACGGACGGCATCGCTCGCCAAAAAGTGCGGATCTGTGCGATTTGGCCACTGGCCTCGTTTGCACATACTCCGGTTGACAAAGCTGCGTAAGTAGCCATTTTCTCTGAACACCCGTCGATGATATCGCAGTTGTTCAAAAACGTTGTCCTCCGGTGCACAGCAGTACTTTTCAGCACGCCAATAGAGCGTCGTTATCCAAATGCATTTGTAGTTAATTTTATGGTTGCCTTTTGTGTTCGACATCATATTTTTTTGCTTTTCTGAACGCTATGATCTTTAGCTCACCACAGTCCCTGCGGCCGACGAGGACATCGATGAAGGGTAGCTGGTTATTTTCTTCCTCCTACATCGTAAATTGTATTTTAAGGAAGACGCTTTTGAGACATTGGTTCACGCTGAAATCCAACACTTCAGGTGAATGAAGTTCTTTTCTCAGTGATCGCGTCTAATTCTTCTCAATTACTTCCCGGGACTCATATTTTCGTTTATTTGCGTTAAACTTAGTGTTTGAAGCTGGGTTAGGAAATAAGTATCCCCGTGCAATTTAGAGTAAAGTCGTCTGGGATGCGGCGGGGATATCTGTTCCCGTTTTTAACCTACTGGTTCACTTATTAACGATAAAGCAACAACGGGCAAACGCGGTGACTGCTTTCATTTTGATTTGCTTTAGACATGCCTTTGATTTAAGGGTGACGCGAACATACGTGGCTTGGACATCGCAGTCAATAAGAGATGTGTCCATGTGTCTAAAATAGATCGGAAGAGTATCTATGAGGGAATATAAAAAGCTTCCACCTCTTTGAATTATTAGGAATCAAGCAACATTGCCAAATGACAAGAAACCATTTCTATATTCATTGCAATTGCGCAAATAACTTTTATCGCAGTCGCGCATTTTGGAAAGCAGCAGGTTAGTACTGTTTGAACGTATACTAGGTAATACAAAATAGTTCATTTTCATGAGGCCAAAGTGAATTACATTATATAAGGTTAGACAAAGACGATAGATCTCACGAAGTTAGACTTCAAAACTGTTTTATTTTCTGATTAAAGGGCAAGTTAAATTAGCAAAAATTCGGTTAAAGGCAGCTGACAGAGGACAGATTCCGGGGAGTATGGAGGCTACTTAGATCGCACAAACGCCTGATCGTGTAAATTCATAGGTTTAAGGACTATAAGTACGGTGCAGTTTGTGGCAACCTGTTTAAGGGTAAGCGAACCTCTCAAACCCTGAACTTCACTCAAAGAGATAAAACTCGTAGCACATTATAATTACAAAGGAGATTCTGACTAAATAATCAAAATAACACCAAAATTCCTATTTAAAACGCTCTTTCTAACTAATGGAACCATCAGAGGTTTGTGATAATTCGGGATCGCCGTCGGTAACGGGTAGATTATCAATATGCCTTGCCGCTAAATATATATGAAGAAAGCTCGTTCACTTATTAAGTCAGGACAGTAGACCGAAATGATTCTAGTGTATAATATACCAGAAGCACATTGAAAGAATCTGCGTGGATTAAACACCTTTAGTTAATCTATGTTCATTTCAACTCTAGTCTTTACACTTAAAAATAGAAGCGTCATAAATAGTACGTAGGAGTTGAGCAGAAAAGTTGCATACTTATAGACTCCAAGATCCAGTAAGATATATTGTCCAAATTCATCCTGAATCTCGTCCATTTTGAAGTCAATCCTAAAAACCAACATTTTTTTGCTGAAGTAAGAAAAAATGAAAACATCCAAAAAGGCTGAAAACGCCAACAAGGCCCGGTGGGAGCATCCAGAGTTGATTATTAAATAAAAGTGGGCAACTCAACTGTGAAAAAAACCCGAATTAC